GGCCGCCGCTTCCGCCGCCTGGGCCTAGGTCGGCGGGGCCCGGGCCCGAGCTGGGCGCCTCTGCCCGGCCGCTCCCTGCTCTTGCACCCCGGACCCCAGAGCCTGGTTCCAGCCCGCGGCTGGCCTGGGGCCGGCATGGTCCAGCCGCAGACATCCAAGGCCGAGAGCGCGGCCCCCGCGGGCGCCCAGATGGACGACGTCATCGACACCCTGACCTCCCTGCGCCTCACCAACTCCGCGCTGAGGCGGGAGGCCTCCACCCTGCGGGCCGAGAAGGCAAACCTCACCAACATGCTGGAGAGCGTGATGGCCGAGCTCACCCTGCTACGCACCAGGGCGCGGATCCCGGGCGCGCTGCAGATCACCCCGCCCATCTCTGCCATTACCTCGAACGGGGCTCGGCCCATGACCACACCGCCGACCTCGCTGCCTGAGCCCTTTTCCGGAGACCCAGGCCAGCTGGCGGGGTTCCTGATGCAGATGGACAGATTCATGATCTTCCAGGCCTCCCGCTTCCCAGGCGAGGCCGAGCGAGTGGCCTTCCTTGTGTCCCGACTGACTGGGGAGGCAGAGAAGTGGGCTATCCCCCACATGCAGCCTGACAGCCCCTTGCGAAACAACTATCAGGGGTTCCTGGCAGAGTTGCGGAGAACCTACAAGTCTCCGCTCCGGCATGCGCGGCGCGCCCAGATCAGGAAGACTTCGGCGTCTAACAGGGCTGTGCGAGAAAGGCAGATGCTGTGTCGCCAGCTGGCCGCTGCGGGCACAGGGCCCTGCCCTGTGCATCCAGCCTCAAATGGGACTAGTTCAGCTCCAGCCTTGCCCACCCGAGCACGGAACCTTTAAGAACCTGCCACCACCCTGGTACATCTGCAGCTATCCAGGTAGCATATGCTCTTTGCTGCGTAGAAGAAATGTCCGTACAACAACATTGCCCCTGTTTGAAGACGTCCCTTCCTGCCTTTCCAGACCATTTCATGAGGAGACCCTCCTTCCCCTTATCTTGGGTGCCCTGGTTACCGCCTTGCTGTGCTTCTGTTACCATGTGCTGGTTTTGCAACTGCAGCTTGATGCATGCTCCCCTTTCTCTTGCTAGCTTCCCAGCTACTCTCATGACTACGGCCCTGCTGCTCAGGCACACCAACGCGGCAGCACCCTCACAGACCATGTGGGCTGACCCCTCCCAGCCCGACTCTGTTTTCAGATGCTCCTACTCCACCTTCTGCGAGCCCTCATGGCAGTTTCCCACCTGGTTACCCTGTTCTCGCTGATGAGCTCTGGCTGGGAAGAAGCCAGTTTGACCAGGCTGGTGCCTTGATGTGTGTACCTGGAGAGGGGGTCTGGCTTCTCACCCGCAGATGATCACCAGCCCTGCCAGGGCCCAGTGTAGCGGGTAGGGGCCTCATCTCTGCTGTCTGTGGCCAAGCAGTGACTGCTGGGAGGGAAGTTGAAGCGTCTCTGGGGGCAGGCCTCCCTCTACACATGCATGTGCACTCCAGCATGCCCCATTGCTGCTGCTGTGAAGGACTGACATTGCAGCTCAAGGGAGAGGCTGCACCTCTGTTACTCTGTGGCTTTAGCTGCTGGTGTTCAGATAGCTCCAGGTATCTGGGGAATGTGGAACTTGCCTGCTAAATCAGGTCATTGTGAACTTTGGCCTCCTGGGCAGTTCCTTCAGGCTGCCAGGCACATCCATGTCTGAGAGCCATAGTAGGCAAGGGGTGGACACTAGTGCTCACTCTGCTGTCCTGGATCTCCAGTGGGAAGCACCACAAGCTGCTGGTGGTCAGTCGCCCCTCCTCTGCCCCTTGTCACCTTGCTCAAGACCTGTTACTTTACCCATTCAGGTGCCATGTGGCCTTCACCTTGGCCCTTCAGCTGCCCACACCATCTCTAGGTCTCCAAAGATGCCATGTAGCATGCCCTCCCCATGTGTGGGCTGTCAGATGTCCAGCCTTTGTCCAAGAACAAAGAGACTCCCTCTTAAACTGGAGACCCAGCTCCTCTGGGAAACAGCGTTAAGGCAGGAGCGTGTCTGCCTCTGGCAACACCAGCCAGGGTCTCAGGGCATTTGTAAAGGCAAAGAGCTGTGGCTACCAGGTTCTAATGTGGTCACAGTGCAGAACTGGCACACGTCCTAATTCTGAGGGACAAAGCCTCTTATGGGGGACAGCCTTGTGCTTCCTCATGGGGACGTCCAAGAAACCACTTTCTACCTGAGACTTGGCCAAGCCTTTTGGACTGTGATGTTCCTGCCATATTTCAATGCCAAATGAATCACATTTACATGACCACCTGGGCCATGGGGGGAGATGGGGTGTCTTACCCCGGGTTCATCTGTCCGTGTCAAATGGCCTGGGCTAGACTGCAGAAAGATAACCTCTGCACCCACCCAAAGACGTGTGTATGTCTTGGGATCCCAGAGGTTGCATCCTGGGACCCATCCTCTTTTCCTGAGAGTTTTGATGATGTTGGGAAAAGTGACTGCGATTCTGAAGCAAACACTGCCTTGCACAGTCAAGGATATTCAGTGGTTGCTGAGGTTCGTGGGCACTGCCACCCACTCATGGTAAACTCTGTTAGCCCAATTGCCCTGCTGAACAACTGCCAGATTCCAGCCTTCAGGTTCCCCTGGACTCCAGCCAAGGCTGTTCAGGTGGGACTATGGTGCTCAATAAGCATGAATGGAGGGGAGACACAGAGGGGCCACCATTCTGGAGGCGGGAGTGGGACTGCTGATGGGAGGTGTACAGGTCACTTTCTCTTTGTGCTCAGTTCTCTTCTGTCTCCAGCAGGTGTTTGGTAAGCTGGGTAGAGGTGCCCCCAGGTGAAGGGGTAAAGGGGCACCTGGGGAAGAGGAGGCCTGCAGGAAGGTTTCCAGTTGGCTCAGCCCAGCTAGGGTAGGAGACCCAGCATGGAGGCAGGACAGGAACTCTGCCATCTCGCCAACCCCTGTTTCTACCCAAGTGGCTTTTTGAAGGTGCTGCTATGTTTGCATTAGGTGCCGGGTCTGAGAGTCATGCTGCAGCATACACCAGGACCAGAGCCATGGAGGCGAGACCCGCCACCCTCCCTGTCCGCATCTGGGACCAGGCCCTTTCCTTTGCATATGGGTCGTCGTGCGCACTCCAAGCTGCTGCCCCAGCTGTGCCTGGCTTGCTGACCTAACTGTGTTTCGTTTCTCCGTGCTTTCGTTGTGGGCTTGGGGTGAGACCTTCTTGATAGCTCCCTGCAACATTGGAACGTGGAGCAGATGAGAGAGAGGTCAGGGCTTGCCCTCCACATTGGACTTGCAGAAGCCTGCACTGGAAGGAATGAGCCCAGCGTGGCTCTAGTGGGAGACACCTTAGTCTCCAGCCAAAGAGGGTGAGACCCGAGTCCCATGCAGCCCTGGAGGGAGACCGCAATGACTGGGAGGATCAAGCTGAAAAGGAGGTGGGGGAAGGGAGATGCTTTGTACATATTTTGGGGTTATAATTTCTCTAAATTGTAAGTGAACAGGTTTTGATTTATAAAGGGACAGGCAGTAGTTTAAACAATGCATGTGAGAAAGTTTCATATGTTCTCCATGGTGTGGGCATTATTTGGATGATATTGTAACTACTTTCTGGTCTACATGACACCCCATCTGGTAAGTAAGCTTCACTGCATACCAGGGCTTAATTGGAGATGGGATTTAGTATAGAGGTGACTTCCTGGCCTAGTATGGGATTAACTTAAGTCCTAAAGCATTTCAGAAACAGCAAAGACTCATTCACTGGCCCCAGGTAAGTATATGACAAGTAATGGTGAGGGTGGAAAAATAGCTGTGAAGGTGCGGTGGGACCATCCTGACACGAATGCACTTGTCAATGGACAGAGCCACTGTTGGGCGAGGGCGACCCTGGTGGTTCAGCCCGTTGAGAATGAGTGAGTGTGGGGAGAGCTGGGCCTATGCTGAGGTTAACTTAGGGAGCAAGCCCTGGGATTGGGCCAAAGGACACATGCTGGGGCCACCTACTGGGGGCAGAGCTTTGGGTGGGAAGAGGGAAGTCCTTGCGGAGCCCCTCCATCTTGCAACCAGTGCAGTTAAGACCTGGCTCACCTCTGCTTGGGAAACGGTAGTTTAGGGACGTGGAGAGGAAGGCATAAGATGGGGCTCCTGGGGAAAGGAAGCAAGAGCAGACTGTTGGACCAACAGAAACTGCTTCCCGGCATAGAGGAGGACTTTGGGGTGCAGGGCATTCCATAATCCACGGTGAGTGTACATGGAACTAGCCTCTGCCATGTGGTCATCTCGGGGACCTCATGCTGGATGTGGTGGCACTTGGCACAGAATGGATGCGGTAGAGGAGATGGGAGGAAACCCAACTTCCCATTTCCAATCACAAACACCTTTCTGAGAGCAAGCAACAAAACGTGCTAAATCTTTTCAGTATCCATGTAATCCTACGTGCTATAGAAATTTTGGAAAATCAAGTAGAGGAAAGAAAAATAAAATTTTAACATTTTGGTGTCTCTTTTTCCAGGCTCTCCCCCCTCATAGTTTCTTTGTATTTCAAGTTAATGTAGTTAGGATCCTACCGTCTGTAGTGATACAATTTTGTGTAGCTGTTTTAGTTGCACATATCCTGGGCATTTCTCCCATGCTGTTGCTAACTTTATTTTGAAATGGCCGTGTACTCTTCCATCAGGTAGGTGGACAGTAGTGCCAATTGTTGGTCACGAATGCTGTTACTAATTTTTCACCGTTAAAATTGATGAACATCTTTGTGCATAAGGCTTTTTCCCAATGTCAAGTTATTTCCTTAGGATAGGTTCCCAAAGGTGGGATTATTAAAGAGTATGAAAACCTTTGAGGCTTTTATTACATACTGATGAAACAGTTTGCAGAAATGTTTATATGCATTTCCACTACCACCAACAAGGATCACTGTGCCCATCTTGCCAGTATTGGGTGTTGTCATCTGGTGAAATATTTGCTAATTTGATAATGAAAAAATAGCGTTGTGTTTTAGTTTGCATTCTTTGACTTCTAGCACAGCTGGACATCTTTTCATGTCGGGTGGTTGTATTTCCTATTTTGTGGATTGCCAGTGTCCTTTGCTCATCTCCTGGGGTCTGATCAATTTGTATGAGCGTGTGATATATTAAAGATATTAACCTTGTGCCTGTGTCATGTTTGCTGCAGATGTTTTCAGGGTTTTACTTTGTGTGTGTTCTAACTTAACTGAAATTTTGACATATGAGGGTACTTCAAAAAGTTTGTGGAAAAGTAGAATTGAAAAATTTTGCAAATCTTTGCTCGAACTGTTTGAAGCCCCCTCTTGTAGTTGACCTGTTCCCTTTCAGCACTGTGTCCTCTATAACACAAGGCTGGCAGGCATATTTTGTCTGTTTTGTTCACGCTGTATCATTAGCACCTGTAACAATGCGTGGCACATAGTAGGTGCTCAGTAAACGTCTGTCCATTAGCTACACGAGTGGGTGTGCGAGGTGCTGCGATCATTACCAGGTGGGACAGTCCCTGCTGTGGTGCTTACTAAGGTCCAGGAGCAGTCCTCACACTTGTTGATCTCAGGATCCCTTTGTGCTGGTGAAAATCACTGAGGACCCCAAAGGGCTTTTGCTTCTTTAGGTTTTTACTATCAATATTTATCATATAGATTTAAACAAAGTTTTAAAATATTATTTTGAAAATAAAAACAAACTCATTACATGTCAACATAAATAGCATATTTTAATGAAAACTGTATTTTCCAAAGCAAAAAATAATTTAGTGAGAAGAGTGGCATTATTTTACATTTTTGCAAATTTCTGTAATAACTGGCTTAATAGAAGATAGCTGGAGTCTCATCCCTGCTTCTGTACTTAATTTTCTGCAAGATCACATGTCAGGTAGTGTCTGAGAGATCCTTCTGTACACCTGTGGGAAAAGGCACATAATACTGTAGTATATAAAGACGGTTTTATGTCGCAGACCCCTCAAAGGGCCTCGCCCTGCTTTGAGAACTGCTGGTCCAAGAAGAGATGAGAACAGGCAGGTCTGCGAACATCACCCTCTGCTCCTTTGTGGTTTCTTTCATTGCTTTAAACTCCAGGCCTTTTTTTTTTTTTTACCTGTAGAATTAATAAACAGTTATTTCTGGCATTCATTTGGTGTGTAATGTGAGATGGGGCTCTAAATGGACTTTCAAAGATTTAAGCATATCCTGAGATGATAAGTTCTCTCCCTCATGTGTTTCTTTCGTGATAAAGGGAAATTTTATCTATTATAGGGCCAATTTTTCTAATATCTGTTCAATTGGTCCATTTATTTTGGCCAGTCCCTTCCTATTTTAACTGATTTGGGTTTTAAATTTTCTATTCATATGTACTAGGGTTCTCCCCCTTTAGATGTTTAGTTGTTCTCACCAGCTGAACTTTAAGAAAATTAGTCTTAAGGGTTTCCCCAAATCCTGGTAACAGGTGCAGGGCTTGGCAAGGCCTGATTGCCAGTTGTGTGCAGTGTGGCCCCTTCTTCGAGCCAGCAGAAGGCCTTGCCCTGAGGTTGCCACCATGTGCTGCTGTGACTGGTAGCTGGCTTGGGAATGGGGGTAAAAATCTCTGTTCCATCTGGCGAACCTGTTGCCTAGTCAGTATCTTCTGCTATGGAAGTCTAGAGTGTGGATGGTGACCTACTGGCTGTACCCAGATAACTGGTCTTGAGAGGTTTACAGGGACCTGGCCCCCCCATCTGCCTAACAGTGGAGGAATAGAGCTGCGACCTCCTCCCCATCCCACCGTGCTGCTGGAGACCAGGATTGTGGTTGGAACAGGGCTCCTTCCTTGGTGACTACATGACATTTGTCTTGAGCTCCCACATACTTGGTCTGGGGAATTCCATCCTGCGGCCCTGCAGACTTCCTGAAGAGACCTGTCTCCGCCCATGTCATCCCCAGGCCGGGAGTCTGGTGCTATCTTTGCCTTATCTCTTTTATCCCACACCTGCTCTATTACCAAGACCTCTCGATACTCCCCAACGACTCTCAGGTCAGTCTCCCTCTCTGTTCCCATCCGCTTCAGGCCTGGAAGGCCAGTCTGTCTTCTGCCTCCTTTCTCCTTACTCCTGTGCTAAGAAGGATCAGAGGTTACTCTGCTTAGAGACCCTCCCTGAACAACGAGGTTGGGCTGGGGGTCCCTTGGCTCTGCTCCTGCACCCCAACTCCACCCCAGCTTAGCCTATTGAAAGTTGCCACCTTGTTACTGACCTTATGTTCCTCTCCCCGGCCAGACTGTGCTCCTTGAGCGCAGAGCTGATGTCTGATTCATCTGTGTCCCCAGCACCTCACCCAGGGTGTGGCAGAGAAGCTGCTCAGCGAATGCTCCATGGTCGAGCAGAAGGACAGCACAGCAGACAACGTACAGGCCAGTCACACAGCAGCCACCTGCCGAGCAAAGCTGGCAGCTCCAGCAAGCCCCACACCCATTTTGTTCTATTTTCTTTTTTTTAAAAAAATGGGATCATACTGTACTTAGTGTATGATGAGAACTTGCCAAGGTCCGGACATTGTCTTTGAGAATGTGATTTATAAAGGAATAATATCCCATGTCTGGATGTGCCACACTTGATTCAAATGATCCCTTTCCTTTGGAAATTTAACTTGTTTACAATGTTTGTCATCGTCAGTGATACTGCAGTAAACGTCCTAGAGGCTAAATGTTTTCCTATTGTCAATATGATCCTATTGTGAGCATTGCCAGTGTCCTTTACATTTACTAAGAGGACATTGCTGATGCACAGGAAAGGTTAATGTGGTGTTTTTATTTGACCACCTCACCAAACACACAGTAGTTTGGGTAGTTTTTCAGTTGGTTTCACAGATTGCCTGTCCCTGGAGCACATGCCATGGCCCCCCCGGTTCCCCTCCAGGACAGAAGTGCTCATTCCCAGCCGCTGGAGTCCTGGCGCTGGAAGCTCTCAGCTGAGCTTCTTTCCGATCTTGCCCTCTGATGAAGGCGCCACCTCACCCAAGCCCGTGCATGCTCCTTTCTGCAGTGGTGCATGTCCAGGGATGGCCGACATGGGGCAGCTCTGCAGGGCCAGGCCAGCTCCAGTCTCTGTGGGACTCTGACCACGGCCCTCGATGTGCCTGATTGCTCCCTGTGCCGACCTGCAGCCTCACTCCCCACAGCCACTAATCGATCACCGAGGGCACTTCTTGTAAACTTCCCTCTGACACCCCCTCTCACCCCAAGGAAGGGGACCTGGGACAGTCCATTCCCGTGTTCAGACTTTTCACTTATATCCTCCTTTTAATCCCAAACAATGTTGTTTGTTACTATTGATGGATGACAGCCTCATCCTGCTCCTGACTTTAATGGGAAGCATGACTGCTAGGTTTTCCTAGGTGTCTACTCTGTGCTGGGTTGCTTGCTAATGTGTCTCATTTAATCCTCACGACCACCCTGAGGGAGAGGATACATTATTATCCCCACTTGGTGGATGGGAAACAGGCTTTGAGTGGTTGAGCAGCTTGTGCATGGTCATGGTCACACAGCTGGTGAGGCCATTTCTGGGATTTGAACCTTGTCGTTGAACCCCAGAGCCTGCCTCTTACCACTACCCGTCTAATCTGCACCTTTGCATGTGATTGTAGCTCTAGTTTACGGTAGACAATTTTCTGGATCACGATTGATTTTGTACTGAAACCTTTGTCTTCAGGTCCACACATGAAGTGAAAATACCACACACACACTTACCCACACACAGGAGCGCACATAGGATGCATGGATAGGAGCGTTTGAAAATAACAAAAGGAAATTTCTATGGACAGGAGGGAAGACATCTCCCCAGAACTGAAATGAAAGCAATTCCTGGGGACCACATGCTGTCTGCCGTGGAAAGGGCTGGAAATTCTCCAAGCTCTTGCCTGGGTTTGTGGCCAGAATGGCCCACCATGGCTAGAGGCAGAAGCAAGTTGTTCCCACGAGTCCAGGACCCGTCTTCTACAGTGCATGTGGGCGGGCCCAGAAGTGTACAGAACACCCAGGAAGAGCCCCAGGCCCAGCTCTGGAGATAGGCCTCGCTCACCCCGTGGCCCTGGAGGACAGGACAGAAACAGTCATGGGACCACCTCACGGGAGCGCGTCACAGCCCCCTGTCCAGGCAGGAGAAAACTCCTGCAGGAGACAAAGCACACGGGACAAAACAGCATTGCGGCAGTCACCAGACCAGCAGATCTTACAGACAGAGATAACAGAGCAACCTGAACAGGACTTTAGCCCAACCTCCCCCCAGTCCCCTCCATAGCCCCCACTGTCCCTTCCACCAGGACTGGGAATGCAGCTCCTTCCCCATGTGGAGTTCCTGCTCCAGGAGTCTGTGGGTGCCCTGCCCCCACCTCACCCTCCCCACCACCAACTCCCCGTGCCATGAGTCTGGCTGCCTGTGGCTCATGCTGTCACCCACAAGCGGAGGACAAGCTCATAGGCGTGTCCTCTGTTCTTCCTCGTTCAGTTTTCTTCTGATGAACTTAACTGTTTAGCATTTATGGATTTCTGTGAATTGCAATAGTAATATATACACATTAGAAACTTCTAAAAAATACAGAATACGCACCCTCATCATCACCTAGAAATCCGTCGTTAAACTTTGTGTATTCCCTTCCAGTCTTTTTTTACTTGCAAACACACACACTCACACCTACATTCTTACAAATTTGGATCATTCTGGATAGACTTTAGAATTAAAATCATGTTAGAATTTTTGTTAGAATTTAATCCATCCTAGAAATTTCCTTGAAAAAAAAATGACATCTTTCTTTGTAATGCTCGGTCATTCTCACTCTGCCAGCAGGTGACATCTCTCCATCCACTTAAATCCTATTTTATGTCCTATGTGAATTTTGCAGTTTTATCCACATTGGTAGAATTTAAAAAAGAGATTGTTGATAAACATGTCCTTTTCCTATTGCAAATGTATCGTGGTTCTTTTTCTCCCAAATAGGTTACTCATGGCATATATTAGAGATATTAATTAATGTACTAGTTTTTATGTTGCCATCTGCAATAGACTGAATGTTTGCATCTCCCAAAATTCATGCATTGAAATCCTAACCCCCAATGTGATTGGTGTTAGGAGGTGGGGCCTTTGGGAGGTGATTAGGTCCAGAGGGTGCCACCTTCA